GTTTTCAGTTGTGAACAGGGGATCACTTTTTAAAAATTACATATTTGGGTACTTAATGTCTTATTTGAGTGTGAAACAAATTGCTTATATAGCATTATGAAGAATAGCTTTATGATTTTTCTAAAAAAATTGTACAGGCTTATCCAAAATTATTTAAGGGGCTTTCCTGGTGGTGCAGTGGTTGAGAGTCCGCCTGCCGATGCAGGGGACGGGGGTTCGTGCCCCGGTCTGGGAGGATCCCACATGCCGCGGAGCGTCTGGGCCCGTGGGCCATGGCCGCTGGGCCTGCGCGTCCGGAGCCGTTGCTCCGCAACGGGAGAGGCCACAGCAGTGAGAGGCCCGCGTACCGCAAAAAAAAAAAAAAAAAAAAAAAAAAAATTTAAGGATTACAGAAAATATAAAGAAAGAAATAAAATATCTCCTTCCCCATCTTTACCCCTGTCCTGAGATATCTCTCAATATGAGCATATATATGCATGATTGTATATGCATAGTTTTACATAGTGAGATTGCATGATTCCATTCCCACATGTTCTTTAGTGTTTTTTTTTTCATGTGGACATATTTCTGTGTCTGTTAATATAAACCTATGTCATAATTCGGTTATGTAGTATGCCAGTGTCTGTGTATATCATTATTTATGTTTCAAATTTTTGTTATATTAAATAGTGCTATAACGAATGCCCTTGTGTACACATCTTTGTATACCTGTGGATTATCTACTAATGAGGAATTCTCGATGGCTGGGTCCAAAAATATGCACACTTCACACTTAGGAAAATAGTGCTAAGCTGTTCTAAGGAAGGTTATTCCATATTCACATAGCATTCTGAGCTATAGTCGGCCATACCAGCTGATGTCAGAAGTCAGTCAGGTTATCTTGGCATTAGCCATTTTGGGACTTAAGCCATAAAACATACCTATACATGTTTGTAGGTGAATCCGGCTGAAAAAACCCAGCCCGTTTCATAATTGATAGTCTTTACCAAGTAAACCTGAAAAAGTTTAAAAACATCAAAGTTAAAAAAAAAACAGTTTTTTAGAGAATTCCCTGGTTGTCCAGTGGTTAAGACTCTGAAGGCACCAGTTCAGTCCTTGGTGGGGGAACTGAAATCCTGCAAGCCTAGCGGCACAGCTCGCCCCCCCCAAAAAAAAAGTTTTAAAAAAACTCACTTTTGAGAAAAACTAATAAACCAACTTTGAATTTTGAATTTTAATTCAAAGAAAATCTTTTAATTAATGTGATTATGTCAATTTGTGTTATCCCAGTAAGTTATCTTTTTTTTTTTTTTTTTTTTGCGGTACGCGGACCTCTCACTGTTGTGGCCTCTCCCGTTGCGGAGCACAGGCTCCGGACGCGCAGGCTCAGCGGCCATGGCTCACGGGCCCAGCCGCTCCACGGCATGTGGGATCTTCCCGGACCGGGGCACGAACCCGTGTCCCCTGCATCGGCAGGCGGACTCTCAACCACTGCGCCACCAGGGAAGCCCAAGTTCTCTTTTTTAAAATAAAAAATTTTTAATTTTGGAATACTTTTAGATTTACAGAAAAGTTACAAAGAGAGTACCTATATACCACCTCATCCAGTTCTCTTCTTTTTTCTTCCTCAAAATGAACACATATGCATTTATTTCTTGGTTATAAAAAGAAAACCTTGGATTAAAATCTACACTTAAAAATATAATAACAAAAAAAATATTATAATAACAGAGTACAACTAACTGTATATAGAAATATTATAAATTGTGATTTATAATCTTTAATAACTGTGTGGTCTTTTTGTGGTTTATGGAATAATGGTAGAGTTTAAGGTCCAATGCTCTTAAAAGTTTATTTTCCTTTTTTCTATAACTATGCTTCCATTTCCTAACCTATTACTGATACTTAGAGTTTTACCTCACAGCCATTTAAGATAAAATAATTTAGTCTTCCACATTACTCTGAAACCTAAATTGAAAACAAATATTTCTTTAAAAGCAATTACATATTTCCGTGCTTATTACTTGCTCCACATATATTATAAAAGTTGAGTGCTTTATATTAGAGAAGTTAATCTGAAATCATTCTTAGCTAAATTCATTGTTATAATTGTTAGAACAGGTAAAATAAAATGGTAGGAACATTAAAGTTGGAACATTTTTATTGTATGTTTGGCAAACTATGAAAATTAACATTTGAAAATTACTTCACTGTGTTGACATTTTGTTGTTTAGTTATAAAAGTAGAAATATGAAAATATTGCAGTTGGTTATATCTTATGAATAAAGTAGAAAACCATATAAACACAAAGCATAATAATGAGTATAACGTTTATATAGGATTTTGAGATATTTTTCACATATATTACTCTTTTTAAAAACTTTTTCATTTAATTTTTTATTGAAGTATAGTTGATTTACAATGTCATCTTAGTTTTAGGTGTACAGCAAAGTGATTCAGATATATATATTTTTTTTCTTTTTCAGATTCTTTCCCTTATAAGTTATTACAAAATATTGAGTGTAGTTCCCCTCATCTAGTTCTGTTATTGTTTACAGTCTTACATACACTACGAAACCAACACCGGTACATTACTATCAACTTAACTCCAAACTTAATTCAGATTTCACTAGTTTTTCAACTGACATCAGTTTTCTATTTGGAAACATCCTAAATCAAGCTTTTAAACTCTATACTTGAATAAACTTGAATATCTGTTCATAGATTAATTTTAGTCATACAGTGTACCTATGTATATACCATATATAATGTATCTGGATGTCTATATTTGTTTAGACAAATTTAAGGTTTCTTTGACATTATTATCTTTGAAAGTTATCTTTTGACGTTCACAGTCATTCTCTCCAAGGCTATTTTAGGGTAAGTTTGAATGTCTTTTTCCCCACCCTTCTTGTGTCCATGCAGAAAAATGGTTTATAACACGGATGAGTATAGCTCTTGCATAGTGATAACCCTTTTCAGTCCAGTCACCAGTTCCTGTCTCCAGGAGCACATGGAAAATAGCCACCTTTTGTTTACTAGAAAATTAACTTGTGCCAGATGGTTACACTGTCTGCAGTGTCTGGCTCTGAGAGCATGTAGGTATTAAGCAGTTCCTGAAGGAGAAAAAGGTGCTGGTCTTGAGGCAGACTACCATTACAGATGGGGTACTGCTTGAGTATCTTTCACTCTGCGCTTGCTAATGCAGAAAAATCCCTCCTGAGGCAAACCGTGACCTCCAAACTCTACATTAATTTAAATCATTCCCTGAAACAGTTTATTTTATGGAAGAGGAGGAAGAAATTGACAATATCACACAGATAGGGATTTTTAAAAATCACTTTCCTCCCAGCTTAAACAGAACTGTTGAGTATTCTTTCCATTAGCTTACACGTCCTTTTAAAAGAAAATAAAAACCCTCCTAAGCATTCCACGAAACAAAAGTGGTGGTCGAGAAAAGCTTCATGAAGAAGCTGGGTCTTGAAAGGCGGCTAGGATGTTATGGTCCTGTGGATGGCAGGGGGAATGATGTTCTAGGTAGAAGGAAAGAATGACATAGTCAAAGGTTTAGAAGTGGAAAAAGTCAAGGTTCATTTGAAAAATTGCATGAGGATGTTAGGTGGGAGGGGAGGACTTTGGGAGCCAAGGCTGAAAAAGTCAGCTGGGCGCAGATGGTGGAGGGCTTCTGAATGCTTTGCTAAGGAACTGAACTTTATTCCGAGGCTCTAGAGACCAGTAAAGGTTTGTAGCTAGGGAGTGACATGATCCAAATTCTTTAGGAAAATGTAGTTTAAAAAATCTCTGTGGGCTTCCCTGGTGGCGCAGTGGTTGAGAGTCTGCCTGCCAGTGCAGGGGACGCGGGTTCGTGCCCCGGCCCGGGAGGATCCCACATGCCGCGGAGCGGCTGGGTCCGTGAGCCATGGCCACTGAGCCTGCGCGTCCGGAGCCTGTGCTCCGCGACGGGAGAGGCCACAGCAGCGAGGGGCCTGCGTACCGCAAAAAAAAAAAAAAAAATCTCTGTGTAAGGTGGTTTGAAAGAGGGAGGCAGACAGACTGTTGTAATCTGTGTATGAGGTGATGAGGGCCTGAACTCAGAGGTTACGTTAGCAATTGGAACAGGGAGGACAGGGCAGTTTTTAAAAACAGGACTTGTTGGTTCCTTAGATATTGGGGTAAGGTAGAAGGAACAAGCCCCAAATGAATATGAGGTTTGGATCCTCAGTCAGAGACTGTAGCTGCTTCATTTGGATCTTCCACAAACTTGACCATAAAATAAGAACTTAAAATCAATAGCATCCTAGGGCTTCCCTGGTGGCGCAGTGGTTGAGAGTCCGCCTGCTGATGCAGGGGACACGGGTTCGTGCCCCGGTCCGGGAAGAGGCCACATGCCGCGGAGTGGCTGGGCCCGTGAGCCATGGCCGCTGAGCCTGCGCGTCCGGAGCCTGTGCTCCGCAGCGGGAGAGGCCACGGCAGTGAGAGGCCCGCGTACCGCAAAAAAAAAAAATCAATAGCATCCTAGAACTGAGGAAAAGTATGTAGCATCCTTGTTTTAGAAACAATAAAATGGAGCTTAGAACTGAGAATACATGATATTTGCTGGCTCACGATGGAGGGAGAAAACCAAGGAAGGAAGAAGGTAGTTTTTCATTGAATGGTGAGAACCGTGGCTATGGCCTGTGCTTACATCTGACTTTTATACAGTGAAATGCTTACGGCCATTGCACTTACGGTGATAGCAACACCACAACACTGACTGAATAAGAAGAGAATCCTGGTCACCTCATAGTACAGCAGATTTAGAAAATCATCTAAAATGGTCTTCTGCACACCCACAAGTCTCTCTATATACGCATACATGTATTTTGTTTGGACAGTGGTTTCTTAGTTCGACCTGTAAGTATGAAGGTGGCAGAATGTACTGTGTAGTGTATCAGCTGGAGAACAAATATAAAGCAGCTTTAATGGCAGTTCTTACTAAAATATTGGCCATGTACTTAAGCAATATAGATCTAAAACCTTACCTGTAGCCAGGTCTACATAGTAAGTTCCACATGAAGACAGAAGTTTGTGGTTCAGTTTTATTGTCCTGTCACTGAAACATTAAAAGCTAACTTAGTATCTGGGATACAGTAATGTCTACTCTCTAAAGGCTGGATTCTGATCTTGACTGAGTGATGACCTTACTAGGCAAATTGTTTTACTTCTAACATGTTTAATTTTTCTTTTATACTTTTGATCATTCTGTGTTAGCGTATTTGGGATTAAAGTTTTATTAAATCAGAAATATACCATAAGACCTGTATGCAGAAAAATATAAGACACTGATGAAAGAAATTAAAGATGGCACAAACAGATGGAGAGGTACACCATGTTCTTGGATTGGAAGAATCAATATTGTGAAAATGACTATACTACCCAAAGCAATCTACAGATTCAATGCACTCCCTATCAAATTACCAATGGCATTTTTTACAGAACTAGAACAAAAAATCTTAAAATTTGTATAGAGACACAAGAGACCCCGAATAGCCAAAGCAGTCTTGAGGGGAAAAAACAGAGCTGGAAGAATCAGACTCCCTGACTTCAGACTATACTACAAAGCTACAGTAATCAAGACAATACGGTAGTGGCACAAGAACAGAAATATAGATCAATGGAACAGGATAGAAAGCCCAGAGATAAACCCACGCACCTATGGTCAAATAATCTATGACAAAGTAGGCAAGGATATACACTGGAGAAAAGACAGTCTCTTCAGTAAGTGGTGCTGGGAAAACTGGACAGCTACATGTAAAAGAATGAAATTAGAACACTCCCTAATACCATACACAAAAATAAACTCAAAATGGATTAGAGGGGCTTCCCTGGTGGCGCAGTGATTGAGAGTCCGCCTGCCGATGTGGGGGACACGGGTTCGCGCCCCAGTCCGGGAGGATCCCACGTGCCGCAGAGCGGCTAAAAAAAAAAGGATTAGAGACCTAAATGTAACACCGGACACTATAAAACTCTTAGAGGAAAACATAGGAAGAACACTCTTTGACATAAATCACAACAAGATCTTTTTTGATCCACCTAGAGTAATGGAAATAAAAACAAAAATGAACAAATGGGACCTAATGAAACTTCAAAGCTTTTGCAAAGCAAAGGAGACTACAAACAAGATGAAAAGACAATCCTCAGAATGGGAAAAAATATTTGCAAACGAGTCAGCGGACAAAGGATTAATCTCCAGAATATATAAACAGCTCATGCGGCTCAATATTAAAAAAGCAAACAACCCAATCCAAAAATGGGCAGAAGACCTAAATAGACACTTCTCCATAGAAGAATACAGATGGCCAAGAAGCACATGAAAAGCTGCTCAACATCACTAATTATTAGAGAAATGCAAATCAAAACTACAATGAGGTATCACCTCACACCAGTTAGAATGGGCATCATCAGAAAATCTACAAACAACAAATGCTGGAGAGGGTGTGGAGAAAAGGGAACCCTCTTGCACTGTTGGTGGGAATGTAAACTGATACAGCCATTATGGAGAACATTATGGGCGTTCCTTAAAAAACTAAAAATAGAATTACCATATGACCCAGCCATCCCACTACTGGGCATATACCCAGAGAAAACCATAATTCAAAAAGACACATGGGGCTTCCCTGGTGGCGCAGTGGTTGAGAGTCTGCCTGCCGATGCAGGGGACACAGGTTCGTGCCCCAGTCCGGGAAGATCCCACATGCCGCCGAGCAGCTGCGCCCATGAGCCATGGCTGCTGAGCCTGCGCATCCGGAGCCTGTGCTCCGCAACGGGAGAGGCCACAACAGTGAGAGGCCTGCGTACTGCAAAAAAAAGAAAAAAAAAAAAAGACACATGTACCCCAGTGTTCACTGCAGCACTATTTACAATAGCCAGGACATGGAAGCAACCTAAATGCCCATTGACAGACGAATAGATAAAGAAGATGTGGTACATATATACAATGCAATATTACTCAGCCATAAAAAGGAACAAAATTGAGTCATTTGTAGAGGCGTGGGTGGATCTAAGGACTGTCATACAGAGTGAAGTAAGTCAGAAAGAGAAAAACAAATATCGTATATTAATGCATATATGTGGAACCTGGAACAATGGTACAGATGAACCGGTTTGCAGGGCAGAAATTGAGACACAGATGTAGAGAACGTATGGACACCAAGGGGGGAAAGTGGTGTGGGTTGAGGGTGGTGGTGGGATGAATTGGGCGATTGGGATTGACATATATACACTACTATGTATAAAATGGATAACTAATAACCTGGTATTTAAAAAAGTAAATAAAATTAAATTTAAAAAAAAAGTACACACAAAGTACTCTACACTCACCATAATGTATAGCTGGGTTTATTTCTATTTAATAATAAATATTTTTTCTCCCGCAAAAAAAAAAATATACCATATTGCTTACATTATAGTTTTTAGAGATATAAAATTTAAGTTGTATAAAAGAATATTAAATGTAGTCATAATACAGAGGGATTTTCACACTATATTTTACTTCTGTAATTCCTTAGTCAAAAGATTAATTTAGAGTTAATTGTACTTGTCATAAAATATTTTTTCTCCATTGTTGTCAGGTTACAGTGGCCTGTATGTTTCTAAATTATGATATTATTTTTGGTCTTTCAAAACCCTTTTTATATTATAGAAATTCTCAAATATAAAAAAAGGGAAAATATAATGAGCCGAAATATACCCATATCCCAGCTTCAACAATTATTGTACATGGCTAATCTTGTTTCATATATATCCACCCTCACTATAGTTCCCTCCCTCCAATTACTTTGAAGCAATTCTAAATGTCATATCATATTATTTTTATATACAAAAATTCTTTTTTAAAAAAAAGACAGGGCTTCCCTGGTGGCGCAGTGGTTGAGAGTCTGCCTGCCGATGCAGGGGAATGGG